ATCACCCGAACGCGTCCCCGTACACACCAGCACTGTACGCAGGGCTAGGTCAAGGCCAGCAAATATCACTGCATACATTGACAGAATCTTAATTTGGCTAAAGCGCCAACAAATTTGCTCTGACAGTATATTATAGGGGGGGGGGGGGCAAGGGGGGATAGCTGGTACTGGTTAAAGGAAATAAAAAAGGTATTTAACGTTTTTACCGGAAATAAAATTAACAGTAAAAAATAGTTTACAGATAAAGCAAATTCCTAATAACATTTTACATTTTTATAATATATGTAATAATTTATATTTAAGAATTAAAATTGGAAAATGCGTATGAAATGCGACATTTAATGTGGAAAATGCTTTATACACTTACAAAAAATAAGATCTTTGTTCAAATTACAGTCGAATAAAATAGCTAATTACATTTTACACATTGCCTATTTTTAAGAATTTACGTTTTTTATTTATTTAAGTTACATTATTATGAAAATATAAACATTTGATTACAGCTTACGAAAATACCCCTTGCCGACCCTCATACTTTCATTAAAATGAGGTACATCTTGAATTAGTTTAATTCTTTCAGTTCAGCTAAATTAACACGCTAGTTAAGAATGCACGTCTTGAGTGAGGTACATGTATAACAAGTGAAACAAAGCATAGATTATGTGCCACCGGTAAATGCTATGTAGTCAGGTAGTGGGGAGTCAAGATTTGGCACTACATTTGAGTGCTCTACAAAATCAAAAGTTTTACTAATTTTTAAACTGAAAATTATCCCTATTTTCTTAAAAAAATATTTACCCTGTTTCACTGATATTTAAACTGTAAAGTAACCCCATTTTCTGAAGTAATTATGACTTTTTTGGTTTTTAAATCACGGCTTTCTCAGAAGTTTGCTTTCTGGGTCACATGAGATGCATCATGTGTGGAGATCCGATTAACCTGGGATGTATCAGTCACATATTAATAACTGGTGATATACAATTTTTTTTTTCAAAAAGGCTTTTAAAAAGACTTTGTAATGATGGTATTACATCATCTAACTTGCCTGAGTGGATGAGTACCATTAATGTAGAATTGCACAATTGTAAGCATGACCTTTGAACTATCATCATAGTGACATCCTTTGCGTGCTGAAAACGATAAGATTTTGCAATTTAACGTTCTGTATTAGACTGTAGTGGTGATACCACATGTAATACTGTTAAATACTTTATTTTAGCTGGAATACATTTTCGCTGGGTGTTTTGTATGATTGTATTTTCGCTGACTTTTAACGAGTTGAATGTAAAATATTAAAAGATTTATTCACTGGATTTTATTTTCACTGAATTGTAAACCTTCAGGGAAAATTAATTCCAAGCGAAATTAAAGTATGTAGAATTGTAAAAAAAAGGAATGTATACATTTTCTGATAACTTTTAGTAAAAAGATAAAATACTATACATTTTGAGCATAATCTTTCTCCTCAAGCACAATTTTAAATCATAAAGTTGTTCTGACCATAATATACTTAGCTGTATACATGTATGTTGTTTGCGATGTCGAAGATGCAACTAGCACATATGTCCAACTTGTCACCGGGGGCAATGGTCATGACATGACTTTTATGAGGTTGGTTTAGTGCAATGGCAGTGAAGTGTATGCCTGACTATAGTGGTGAGGTGCATTGTTGTGGTCATGAGTTTGAATCTTGCTTTTGTAAGTAAGTAAGTAAGTAATTCTTTATTGCTATCGTATCCCATTTGAGATCTTGACAAAAAGTACAATAAAGTCAATTGTATAATTGTCATGTGCCTGTTAAACAATAACACATGATTGTGAGGGTAATATCACGATTTGTTGCCTGCCCAAGGAATGGTGGTCATGACCATAATATTGCCAGAGCCTTACTTAATATCCATTCTGGCACGTTCGCTGTCTATTTTGGATGAATAAAGTTTCTTCAAAACCTTGAAAGCAACCCCGAAAACTACAGCGGCCGGGGTAGCACCAGTGCAGCGAACGACAATTTGTTATGTGCTGTATCGTTGCATAGTAATTTCAGTGACGTCAGTCTCAACCAATCACAGCATGCGTAACAGCAGTGAGATGTGTTAATAGTGTATTTTTTATCATTATTTTTGCCTTCCATTCTAGGCTGTGACAGTGGTTTAGGTCTTGCATTAGCTCAGTATTTAGACAAAAGAGGCTTTGATGTTTTTGCTGGAATTCTCCATAAAGGTGGCCATGGCGAGGTCCTGTTGAATGCTAGTTGTTCTACTAGATTGACAACACTACAACTAGATGTAACCAAAAAAGATCAAATACAGCAGGCTTTCCAGACTGTTCAGCGAAAATTAGGCGGGCAAGGTATGTTATTGATATTGATGAGTTTCATGTTGTCCGGAGTAAATTTGTGTTGGCATCATTAGGAGTCCTAAGTTACGTAACCATAGTTACCCATGGCAATAAAAGGGTCCCCAAGAGAGTAATATAAGGTGAACTTAATCAGAAGTAGTTCGTCACATGATTTATCAGTAATTGCTATGCATTCAAAAATACCGACTATTACATTGTATGTTGGAAACAATTACTTCTGCATTGAAACCCAATTCTTAAACAACTTTTTATTAGCTCCATCGTTGACTGTGCAGCTGTCCAGATTGCTGATTTTCTGTCGTCTGTTACCATCATTTTTACATTATCAATCTTGTAAAAAACATCTTAATTGTGTTATTTATATTCTACATTAAATCCACGTCTTTAGTTCACTCTATAGTATAGTGTAGATTGCTTGCAAAATTAGTATCACTAACAGCGGGGCTATATCATCCAACAGACTGCTTGTCTATTAATGTCTTCTGCCACCTTTTCCAAAACCTATTCAACACTGTGAACAGGAGAAGTAAACAAGGGATACTCTATGCAACTGGGGGGGGGGGGTTTACATTGTAGCAATTATGCTAATGCACTCTTTGTTGCTATGTTACTATGCACCTCTATCAACTCTTTGATGAACCACCTAGCAACCAATACACATTTATTGCTCCACTAAATTTCATTTATTTCTAGCATTATCATTAACAAGCCAGGATCACTGAATATACCCACAGACTATTTAACATGGCTAACATAAAAATGCATAATTTTTGTCAATATTCAAGTTTGGTAAGAGTCAAAATTACTCATTGTCTCTGTGTTTTTTTTCACAGGGCTATGGTGACTTGTTACTAATGCTGATATTTTTGTTCATAGGGCTATGGGGACTTGTAAATAATGCCGGTGTATTTTCATTTATGGACATTGAATTGACACCTCTAAGTATTTACCAACAATTACTTGACGTCAACTGCCTCGCTGTTGTACAGATGACTAAAACATTCTTACCACTCATTAGAAAAGTCCAAGGAAGAGTTGTTAATATTTCCAGTACATACGGTGAGTTCAACAACACTTTATTTTTTGGAGCATATTTTTGAGTATTGTTGCATGTAAAATCTCATTCTTGTAGACTATTTTTGGTAGCCACAGTTTACTATGGGCGAGCTTAGCAAGAGACTTGTTTTTACTGCATACATAGGCATAGGCAACTGCTCTTCCAAAGATAAAAAAACACTTTAAATTTCTTGTTTCTGTTAAGTCTCTGTTTGACCTCTGTGCGTCCGTATCTTTATCTTAGACATGCCTGGACCAATTGCATTCAAACTTCACTCATACATCATACATACTATTATGCATATGCATGTCAATTTGTTTCACGTTCTGAAATGGCCAAATGGCGGCCATTTTTGTGCTAAAAAATCATCAAAAATCAAGAAATTGTGGCATTTATGGATTGATTTTGTTCAAACTTGTACATATATTAGACATTATGGGTTCCTGATGCACGTCATTTTATTTTTCAGAGAAGATCAAAAAGGCTGATTGGCGGCCATTTTGTTTTAATGAATGTGCTTCTAGAGCCGACATGCTTTGACTGATTATATTCAAATTTTATATATTCATTATAAATTATGTTATAGATATATGGTTGTATTCCAAAATGGCCGATTTTGTTTTAATTAATGCTGTTCCAGAGCGATATCTCTCAATATGGACAAGTACTCGTTTGATGATCAGATACAAGATGTCAATCATTTTAATGTTAGAAAATTATAATCATATTCCTGACATGTTTATGTTCCAACTATATTACTATAAACAAAACTATATATCTTAAATTTGATAATTAACGGGGACTGTGCCCATGCATGGCTTGTTAATTTAATGTTTTATCAGATAAGTTTCAAAATGGCTGAATGCACATGCTGTTCTAGAGCCATGGCCTTGACATACATTGACATCGTAGTCAAACTTGACAACTGCATTATACATCATGTCATTTCTTTCATGTTTTGATTCAAAATGGCTGACTTGTTTTAGTTTTATTTACTATTGAACTAAGAAGGACTAATAGGTAATTGGTTTGTATATGAAACCTAACACACAGATTACTTTCTTTTCATGTCTGGTAAAAATATTAATATGACAACATTTGTATTATGATTATTTTCACTGTGTCAAACATTTAACATCTGTTAAACTTTCAAATTTATTCCACCCAGGTTTCTATGAACAAAGACAAGGTTACAATTGTGGCATTGTGTTTTCTCTAATGAATTTGTTTATCCAAAAAATTGAATTTGTCTTTGAAAATTGGTGTGTCTTTACAATTATCTATAGGGATAATACATAAAAAAACAGAATCCTTCTTTAAATCCTGCATGGGGGATGCAATCAATCAAAAGCTGTCACTTCAAACATTGTCACACATTGTGATTGTTTTGTCACGTTACCTACTCATCAACAAAATCAGTCAAATAAAATGGCCAACAGAAAATGGCATCAGTGCCATATAAAAATTAGTGTAAATTGATATAATGTGCACAGGAAGGAAAGACATGTCAAAATTACAGCCATTGTACAGTATGTAAAGAACAACATGGCGGTCAGTCAGGGGATTGTAAATCCAATCAGGAATAAAAATTACATGAAAAGGTCTATGATGTTTATTGTATAGACTAAGTTGAATTCAGTCATTTGTATTGAGTAACTGAATTCCTATTTCCAGACTATATGACCTGATGTGTGATGAGTGTGTGAAGTTTAAACTTCATTTGTACAGGCACGTATGAAATCTGTTTAAACAAGATGGCTGCCAGTCAGCCATTTTGTATTTAAAGCTGACAAAAATGCATGTTTGTCCAATGAACTTGACCGATTCAGGCATGGTGGATATATGGACCTGGAACTGCATTCTTTAAAACAAAATGGCCTAGTCAAAATTTTTTAACCCAATCTGAATAAAAAATTTGAAAGAACCCATTCAGCTATTTTAAATGAAACAAATGTGTTTGCTTATGTTCGATATACTATATGTGTGAAGTTTAAATAAAATTGCTCTGTTCATCTTTGAGAATTGGTTCCGAACACGTTTACAGACTGCAACTTTAGTTTTTTAGACACAGTTCAACAAATTCATCAAAACACAAAGCCTTGCAGGCAAACTTTCAAATGAGTTGGATGAAATATTAGTGAGGAATAGAAATGTCTGAAAACAAAATGGCAACTAATTGTTCTTTTTGTTTTAAAAAAAACGTAAACCTGTGAACCAATATTTATCTTCAAATAAATTTGAATGAAATCACGCTGCGGGTCTCTGAGAAATGGTTCTGGACACATTTAGCCATGAGAAAATTTGACGAATAAAATGCCTGTCAGCCATATTTGACCAAATGACTAATTGGTTTGCAAATATAAGTCACAATACATAGCCTGTATGAGAAGTACATGTATGAATGAGATTGGTCAAAGCATGTCAGAGAAATGCATGCGGACATACAGATAGATTGAATGGGGACTGGTTAGTTTGTGATTCAGATATTCTTTAAAAGTTACTAAGCCTGCTCTTATAACAACTTACAAGATCTTAAAGTGTAGATACAGCCGAACATGGTACTGCATAATTGTATACAGGTTGCTATCTTAATGGACACTTTACTTAATGGAAGTTTACAAAAGTACATGTACTTTGTAACATGATGTATATAATGGTATTGTAGTTTGATTCACAACTCTTGTTTTAATGTTTTTTTCCCTAAGTAGACATGCACCTGAAGATTTAGTGTAATAATTGTGTTTTGTCTCCCCTTAGGAAGAGTACCTTTAATGGGCTTAAGTGCATATAATATTTCCAAAGCAGGTGTTGAAATTTTTACTGATGTGTTAAGACAAGAAATGAAGAAATGGGGAATTAAAGTATCCTTGGTAGAGCCCTATGGATTTCTTACATGTGAGTATTAGTCAAGTCAGTGAACAATACCTATTCTTTGCTTGAACCAAGCTTGACTCATGAAAATTCTGTTTGATTACAGCAATTATATCAAGAGACAAAATGGATTGTGTGTACCATAGTATGATGGACAACCTCACTCCAGAGCTGTTACAGTTGTATGGTACAAGTTATTTTGAAACGTACAAAAAGGAGATCGTTGAGCATGAAGGAAGAACATTGCATTGTTCTGAATCATTGACGGAAGATTGTCAGTTTCTCTGTCGTTGTGTTCGTGATGCACTCCTCTCACGGTGGCCACAAGCGAGGTATCCAGAGGGCCCCGGAGCCCGGATTCTTATGCTTTTATCCGATCACTTACCGACTGCCATGTTGGATTTGTTTCTACCACATATTTTACCGGACTGGGCCAAAATTAAACCTGATGTTTCACAGTCAAGTTCAAATATGCAGTATTAACCTACTGTGTATATAGTTATTGTGAAAATTAGTGTGAATCACAATTTGGTTTATTCATTACAAACATTTTTACTTTTAACTTTTTTTTTAAATATTTCGTGCTGGCATATTTAATCTTAAATAACAACAATAAGTAAAATTAGTATAAATAATTGCATTTTATCAATCTGAGAAGTGTGTTATGTCTCTTGACAGAAATATTTTGAAAAATAAACCACTTTTAGTGTGGTTGGCACAAAATTGTTTGAAATTTCATAAAATATTGCCAAGAAATGGGAACTGAGATTTTGAGTCAACCTCCGACCTCCAACCTCCAACCTCCTCACATGAAACCAAAATATTGTTTGGCACAATTTCACATATGTCCTAATCTGCAGTGTCAACTTATTTGTCAGTCAAGATAACTATGTCACAGAATAAAATATTATTACCGAGTAGAAAAGGAACCAATGATAAAAAGCTCAAATACTGAAATTACCACTATTAAATGTTATACAATTATTTGAGATTCAGAGAATTATGGTTAAAATGAATGAAATTATAAACTTCATAGAATGTATATATCATACCCTTTAAGTGGTGTAATACCATAATGAGATGGTGTTGTGTTACATTTATGTAATACCATGTAATATAACATAGCGATTTCATGTAAACATGTATTTGGTGATTTACATTTAACAATTACATACATTGTGTTATGATGTAGTGATGGCATGTGATGTCATGTCATGTAGTGAACTTAATTTGTGATGTTATAATTTCATTTAATGACAGTAGAACATTTCCTCTCATTGATATAGACACAATTTTATTATTAATTTAATTTCTGTTTGCCTTTAATAATCTAATAATCTTTAACAATATATGTACAGAAAATTTATTGGAGTAATGTCAAAATCTATATTAAATACATTTTACTACTAATCATGTGTCCAGTATGTATTTGACCTTTGTGTAATTTCTTTGAAACATTCCATTGTGGTTATGCTATCTCTGCTCATTGCTATAAATGACTTCTCAAAAATAAGGAAGAATCAATTCACTACGTTCAATTAGCCACCATAGACTCCAGTCGGTCAAAATTACTATTCAGCCAATGTCGGAGAGAGGAAATCTAGGTCAGGGGAAGCCCCATGACCTCAAGATTTTCTTCCATGGCACGTGACCAAGGTCAAGAGGTCAGTGCCAATTTGCCTTATGTTCACTCACTGTTTTTTTCGCACTGAGTGTGCATCACAGCAAAAGAGTGCGGTTCAGTCAGAATTTTTTTCGACTGAGTCTTCTGAAGTACTCCTGTGACCGTTACAGTAGGAAGTGGTGTCTGGTAGGTGAATTTTTCTTATTAGGGCCTGTGTCCTTTTTGTACCGAACACAAAAAAACTTGGGTTACGCATATGACTACTTTTGTAGGGCTTCATTGTGTCAGTTTCAACTGTAATTTCGTTCCACATGTTGCCCGAGTACAGACTAGTCGTGCAGTCGGTTCGGGAAGCCCTCTGGCGTGAGTTAAAGTAGTGCTAGTATGGGTGGGAAGTCCTCCTGTTTGTCAACCAGTACCTTGGGTGCTGCGTCGGTAAGTGTGGGTCCTGATGGCCCTCTGTGGATCCTTCCTTGACGGTTTGCCTCTGACAATCAGGGATTGTAAAGGGCAAATTTCATCATTTGCAGGTCGAGTAGACAAGCTGCAGACATATTGGGTTGCCTCCCATTGATAGGGAAGCAGATGGGGCGAAAACCGGGGGTACAGGGTCTCTGCGAGGGCTAGTCCACAGCCAGTTGATTGGGGGGGGGGGGGGTGGTGGTCAGGCATCCAATATGGAGGGGGACTGAGCAGGGCAGGAAATTGGTTTCGTCTCCTACATCCTGCCAGCAAGTACATTTCCCAGAGCACTGCCTTCTCTACTGGTCACTCCCCTCAAGAAGATCTGTGGCCTTCCCAGAGCGAACCGACTCGACTATCAGAGATATGATCTGAGGGGGGGGGGGGTAGCGATGTCTGATTCTTTGGGTACAACCTCGAGCAGCCCTTTCAAAGTCCGTCCTCGGAAACGAATTTGTGAACCAAAGCGTGGGGGTGATGCGGGAAGTCATCGGTCCTAGTGGTCCAATGTTCATACCCTCACCCGCAATCCTGAAGCAGTCACTCTCGATAGCGTTGTCGCTTCTGGGATCCCAGATGGAGAGATCCAAGACAACACTGACAGCGGGGCTGGCCTGGTCCAGCAGATTGTTAAATGTGATGGAGGATGCACAGACAATGTTGATGGCCGGCGTTGGTTCCCTCTGGAAGAATATAGTCCTAAGATTCCATGGTGGGGTAACCTTATGACTAACTTTTTCTGCTGGAATAAGCGCTATCTGATTAGTGGGGTGTCTGGTACCAGAACAAGCAGAGTCTGGAGCCACAGCTAACGCTCTGACTGGAAAGACCTATTCGCCACAGCCCGGAATGCCAAGCTTCCAACGTATGTGACACTCCTGCCGACTCCAGGAGCATGGGCCAACATGGACACGTATGCCTTTCCTCCCTCCCACAGATTCACCTGGTACTGGAGAAACTACGACAGGAGCACACCTGCGTATTGACCTGGTGGCGCCCAACTGGCCAACCAAGGCCTGGTTTCCTCTACTGTCTGAAATGTTAATCAAGACACCGGATCTGCTGTTCCAACCGGATGGCACACTATCAATGAGCAGTGTACCACTACGTGCATGGAGGCTCTCGGTAGATTCACAGACGGAAGGTTTATCTGGGAGTGGACTGGGAATCACCCAATTCACTACATTCAATTACCCACCATAGACTCCGGTCAGCCAAAATGACCTTTTTGAACTGTAGGCAATAATCTACGATTCAGCCAATGATGGGGAGAGAAATTTAGGTCAGGAGAAGCCATGACTTCATAGATATTCCTCCACGTCACGCAACAAGTGGCCGAAGCAAAGAGACCTGCGCCATCTTGCCCCTTGATCACTTCTGTTTTTCTCTGCACCGAGTGTGCATCATAGCAAAAACAGTGCAATTCAGTCTCCAGTTTCTCTTATTTTAGACCCCGTGTCTTTTTTGTGTGCAAAAAAATCTCAGATAACACATTTGGTTACATTAATGGGTCTCTTTGTATCAGCTTTTAACTTTAATTTGTTCTGCAATGTGCGTAGTGCAGAGACGGATCATGTTGATCATGCATTCAATTCTGCTGCTCTGTGGGCGTAAGTGAGTGGAGTGCTAGCATGGGCAAAACCACCCCTTCTACCTGTACCTCAGTATTGCGTTGACGAGTGGGAGGTCCAACAGCAGTGGATCTGATTTCTCAGTACCCCCTGCTGATTGGAGGGCATCCTTGCAGTCTGCTATTACAGGTTTGCCCGATCATGTCGGCAATGACGAGGCTGTGCCCCTGGAGCTTGTTGCTTCTATGGGACCTGTTGCGGGTCTCTCTGTGGACCCCCCTCACAGGGTGACGTGGTTTGCCTCCAAGATTCAGGCTTTGGTTGAGGGCCTGCCAGACCTCCGATTTTGGAGGGAACCAAACAGGGCAGGACGTTGGTTTTGTACCCCCTTGCACTCCCTTGGCATTGCCAGAAATAGACAATAGAATCTGGTCAAGTAGAGATTTACTGTCTATCCCATTGCAGTGACTATAATTACATGCAAAATTATTCAAGACAACGCATGATGTCATAGACTTTAAAGGTCTATTGTTTAGCCTAATTGAGATTATGTTGTTATGTTAAGTAGTTCACAGCTTGGGGTTGGAAACAATAGTAAGTGAGGTAATCTTTTGTTTCATTTGTTCTGTGCCCACTTGTATGTGTCAGCTGATCATATGAAGCCATGTAATAAATGGTTGTGGTTACCAGAGGACGATATACCCTTAGGTACACTCCTAAGATGGCATTGAAGACAGCCACCCGTTATATACTTAATACAAAAATATGGGGACAGACTAATCTTGTAAATATCATTGTGGTCGTCAATGGCGATTGGTATGCAAATTACGTTTGTCTGACGCATTACAAAACAAAAGACTGTCGTGGAATAATACACAACTCTCAGACAGACACTATGATGAAACCCCTTCTTTATAATAAGAAAAAAACGGCCGATACAATATATTGATATTTAGCATCAAAGGCAGTATGGGGATAGTGGTTCACGTTCGAAAAGTGGGATAATTTTTAACATGGAATAACGTACATAAAATAAATCTTGATTCAGGTTACTTCCTGTTGTTAATTGGATTAAAACAGTTATATTTGCTAACAACTGGATCGTACGTCTGTGTAAAAAATGCATGAATTTTAACTCTAATTTGGGCAGCGAATACTGCGTCTACAACTGCGTCAGCTGCGTCGTTGTGTTTATTGAACCAGAGAGAATTCAGAACGAAGCAAACAAACTTGAACAGTCACCTGCGTTACTGCATTTTCTTATTTTTAAAAATAGAGTCTGGCACACAATTACATATCGTCCATTGGTAATACACTGGGCCAGTGTAGAATTTATCATCAGGTTTTACGGCAAGTTGGGCATTTAATGGTGGAATGTTAATGGAAAGATCTATAACATATCGAAAGCTTGGAACGTCACCTGTCTATTACAAAGCACACAAAAGTGAAAAAATGAAAAATACAAGCTCAAAATTAAATTTAGTTTTAATATATGTTTATGCAATGCATTCTCTATGGCACATCCCGTGACGTTTATTTGACTGGGGAACACTGGCTAGAGCGGAAGTCGGCCATCTTGTCCACTCATTTCTGGCGATGATCCAGTGACAAGGAATTCCTGACTCCATCACGGGTCACTCCCGGCCATCTGAGGTGTATCTGATCTGGCAGGTGCAACCGCAAGAGGCGCCTCAGTATCTGTTCTTCATAACGACTCCATGAGCCACGTCCAGGGGCTGATGTGGGGAACATCAATCCTAGTGACCCGATGAATGTACCCCCACCCTTGATCCTGAAGTAGTTACTCTCGGTAGTGCTTCCGGGATCCAGACGGCGGGATCCAAAACAACACCGACAGCATGGCTACCCTGGTCCGGCCGCGATTGCTGGGTGTAGCGGGATGTTGATGGGAGGACGTTGGTTCCCTGTGGAATAGAGACTTAAGTCCACAGGGTGGGGCAATCTCATGCTTAACCCTTTCCACTGGACCAAGCGCTACCCGATTGAAATAAGTTTTGTCTATTTCTGGTGTATGTGTTGTCAATAGCAACGAAAATCAGCTCAGGCGTGTCGAGGAGGAAACTATATTCCGCCTTGGAACTAAAGAACCCCATGGAGTTAACAAACACTTCAACTCATTTGTTGAGCTTACTACCTAAGGCGCATTATATGTTCTATTGTGGAATTTTTGGTTATTCTATTTTATAGTTCATGCGCGTTCTTGCGTTCCTATGTTCTACCTGTACGTTTTAACA